ATTAACAATTTTTTTGTTAGACATGTCCTCTATTTAATAATGTATATTTTAACATTTTTAATAAATTATATAATATAGTAAATGTCTAGGTGGGTACCTATAATATAGCATTATATTATGTTATTACGACATACAACTGACACTCGATATCCGATTGTGTAGTACGTCATCTTTTTGTTTATTCCGTTTTGATGATAATATATCTGTATTCAAGCGTCGCCGATAACACGCCAAACGATAAACAATGAAGACGAAAACGTTCGTCAGTGTTTAATAGTGAGAGAGAGAGAGAAAAAAAACTTCAACTGGGTGTGGCAGTGTAGGCACGTGTAGGTGTATCGATGATTGATGCGCATAACGTGGACCGATTGAGGCCACGGAAAGGGAAAAAAACCGCCTTAAAGTCGGGTTATCAACGTGAGCCGGACCTGTCAAAAACATGCACGACCCCCAGGGGAGAGTTTCATCCCGGAAAATGACTCGGTTTCCAACATCTCGATTTTTTTTCTTCTAGACGGATATTATAGTCGCATTTTTTTTTATACATCTTGTATTATTATGTGGTGGGTATATACACTCCCGGGCATGCACGTATCATATTGTACTCATATGTCATATATTTTTATATTTTCATTCGGACGCGCGTTGCGGCTTTCCCGATGTTCCCGTCACATATTTTCGGAACATAACTTAATAATTCAAATAACATTATGACGTCGATGTAAGTCGAAATATTTTTCAAAAAAATTTGATTCTCCAGTGTTTATCATAGTATTACCACGCATATTTCCTTTCTTTCTAAAATAATAAATTTCTCCATAGTTCCCCATCATTAGAACGTATTTCTATTTCAGCATGCCTCAATACAACTCCTAAACATGGCCGACTTTTTATATTAGAACCCACTGAACTAAATATGACCAAAATAATGCCCTTGAGAGATTGTTAAAGATAGGAAAACAGTTCGGTTTGGATTTTTCCATTATATTGTATTCATGATTTGTGTCTTATAATAATTAGTATTAATCATTTAAGTTATTAGTATATCAATAACTTTTTTATGCTATGTTTAATTATTTAGCATTGCATCTATGTTTATATTCAATAAATGTTATTTGTACATTTACTTATTAATTATTATTCAGTACTTGAGCCTTTTGGCGTTTATCTTAATAAAAATTAATTAAATTTAATGTAAACGACAGTGTCCTTTTAGTTTTGGAATCTGGTAAAATTGAGAAAAAATCGTGTAAAGCTAAAAACCACTAATGAAAAATTCGTGTGGTGAAATTTTTTTTTGTACAGATGAGCTACCAAACAATTGCACCACAAACACCTGTTGACACAATTTTATATACAAAGTAAAGCAAAAATACTTGAAAAACTAAATAATTTTTATTATAATCAATGGTTAAACATTTTTTTTATATACCTACATTTATAGACGCTTGGGCCACAGTATAACAGTTTATATTATTTATTGTTACTTATCCAAGTCTTTTTATTACGCCAAGTAAATATTATATTATTATCAAGCAACTGTGTAATCGTGCGTCTTAATAACTGTACGTCTGTATATATAAAAATATATTATATTATAATCCATAAAGAGTCAATTCTAAAGATTTTTGTCACTGAAGTATTAGATTTGAACAACCCCTATATACATAAGTGCATGTACACAAGGTGGACAAGGAGGGACGACCTCCCCTTCATTTATTTTAACCCCTGCAGAAAATGTATTTTATGTTTGTATGTGTTATATAATAATATAATATATACCAGATACCTAACCTATACCGTTTTACAGGGGTTTTTATGAGAAGACAGGTTTTTAGGCCTGTATATTTAGTTGATATTTGCATCTAATTAATCCTACCCCTATTCTGCCTATTTTTTATATCTAACTTCATATACTCTATATCTATATTTAAAATAGTACAAGCCAAATGGCTTAAGATTATAATATACATGAAATAATAAATAATTAATCACTATTTATTATTACATTTTTAAAATATCAACATGATATTATCTTATTATTCATAACTTAGTGTTACTCACTGGATAATTTATCAAATTCGATTTGCTATATATTTTAATATTGTCTTTAGTTCCTTCCCGATCTTAGTCCAAGCGCACGACCAGACATGCATGTTCTGCGTCAAAATTGAATTCCTGATAAATACATCCTTCCCTTCAACCACCATTAAAAGTTGCGATGCCCAAAGGGGCCACGTGGTGTTCATATTAAAAAGATCCGGCAAAAGGTGGAATAAACTTTTCAAATATAATTCAGATTTTCCGGGACTTAAATGTGAACTTTTGTGCATCTTCGTCGCGTTTTACTCTTGTCGTCCTTGTTACGCTCGCGCCTTCTAGTTTTATTTGGCGTTAAAGTTTTGCGTGACTGGGGAAGGAAAAAAAAGAAATTTTAGCGTCAAATAAAAACAAATTACCAGTCCTTTCTTACATCGGCAAAAAGTTTCGCTCGTCAAAATGCTCAGAGTGAACACGGCCGTGACAAAGACTACCCTATACATGCGAGCGTAGCTGTGCGAGTTTTTCATTTTTATTTTTTCCCAATTTTTTCTTTTCTCTTCTATCGGACGGTGGACGGTGAAAACAAACTTTGATAACACAATCAAGCCATTTGTTTTGCCAGTTGTGTCGTATCACCAAGTACCACCCGCTATCTTTCAAGATGGATTTTTAAACGAATTTCTATTTGTTTTATTATATTTTCATCCTTCCGTCGGAACAGACACATAAACTCCCCGTGAATGCTCTGGTGAGCAATTGAAAATGAAAATGGCTGACGACTATAACCCGTTGTGAGTACAACAAACATGTGGATCAGTTGGTTCAGTGTTCATATATTTTTGTTTCTCACTCTGTTCAGACATTTGGTATTTATAATATCATTATGAAACAGGTAAATGGTTTCCTTGACTTGGTATTTAGGTAATATTTAATAACAATAAAACAAAAAAATACAAATTAATAAATGTACGTAAATGTTATAACTTATAAATATTGTAAAAATGAGTTCTAAAATAATTACACATTATAATATTTTGGTAATTTGGTATGTTTATGAACAATATTGAGCCTTTTGTGTCGCCATATAATACACTAAATTTCACAACTAATGAACTCATAAATCTCTGAAAATCTACAAGAAATATTAGGTTTTATTTGATCTGACGAATAATTATAATTGCAATCATTAGAATATTATTTGGCACATTGGATGAAACCCGCTCATCCGAGTTCTAATATCAGGGAGCTTGAAGCTTCCTGTAACTGAAAAAGTATCCTGTCTTAATTACTTTTGATACTCACTCAGTGTCTCAATTACTGTTGTTGATTGTTCTAAATGTTAATGTCAATAATGAAATTCACCTTCCGAGTTTCCCACAACGATTTACTGTTTTAATAGTTAATATAATGGCAGGAGTAGTCATTTAGATACAGATATCCCGGGAAATTAAATTATTTAAATTATTAAATCTTTGTGGGACACCCTCTATGTACAGTACTTCAGTAACTGCTATACCGTATAACTTATTATGTATCGAGTGCAAATCATTTATTGTCCTTATTGTCACTGTATTACAGGTATATACCGTATACATATCATACATATTATACATATTATATTATGTATGTATAATGTCTACATTAGGTGATGACATTTTTTAGATGAAAGCTGACCAAATACTTACAAACACGTAGGTAAAAGACAATTGAAAGCATTATAATCGTTAAATTGAATTAAGTTCACATACAAAAAAAAAATAGCAATTCAAATCTATTTAAAACAGAATAATAAACTCCTCACAATTTAATTATTTAAAACGAAACAAACAATATAGATCAACTAAAAGTTATTTAAGGTGTATTAAAATAATGGGTATTTATATATTCCTGAGTAGGTCTCCTGCGCTTTTATATGTACAACAATACACAAACAGTCACTGTAGGTACTATTTATGCATTATAACATGGTTTTTATTTTTATTCGTGTCTTACAATTTAATAATGCAAAACAACATTTTTGTTGTGGCTCTAAATTAAATGTCTTCGATTTTCCATGTGTTTATTTTACGTCAAAACATCTTAATAATATATAATATTATAATGTAATAACATGGCCTGGAAATTCCACGAAATCCTCTACATAGATAATTTAATAAACGACATATCGACATAATATCGTACACGCTATAGTCACATGGTGTTCGATAAAAAAAAACCGTAAACCTTAAACGGTTAAGACCATTCAAATAAAGTCACACTCGGCTTGGCAAAGACAAACCATTTTGTTTTAATTATTTAAACATTTAAACTATAAAGGAGCAATCGAATGAAATCCGTCGCATTAAATATCAACTGTAAGCACATAATATGTAGGTATGTTGTAGATAACCCCCCCCCCCTCTCCAAACATCGCAGTGAATTATTTTCAAATTAAATTACATAAATCCGGCATAAATATTGTACCAGTTAGTAGTTTATATTATATTGAAACACAAATAAAAGGACAAAACTTCACGGAAATGAGGGTTTGATAGAGAAAATTTTTTGACCAGATTTGTTTTATGATGGATACCTAGATATCCGTAATATTATAACGTTGGAAAAAATTGACTATCATAACGTATCGTTGATGATTATTTTTCACAGTAAAATCGGAGTCATTATCACGAAATTATATGTCACTCCAAGCTGCAGTGTGCAACAAATATGGTACTTCGTGGGTGGAAAATGTTCACCTTTCGAAACCAATTATAATATATAAAATGTCAATCAATTTGTTTTTGCAAATTATTGTTATTAATTACCATCGACAGACTTTCTATGAGCAATTTAATTCTTAGACCGCAAAACAATGGTCACAAACGATTGTACAGTGTACATAATATATTATATTATTATTATTATTATAATCACTGAATATTAACGATTTGTTAATTTTCGTATTTTTTTTTTTACAGCCTACGGAAATTTGGGCTCAATACTGAGTAGTCAGGGTCGATTGGACGAGGCGGAAACGGCGCTGAGGACGGCGTTACGATATCGACCGAACATGGCGGACGTGCATTACAATTTGTAAGTACAAAAATAGTAATAAATATTATTTTGTAGTATATTATATCGTTAGTCGCCCTAAAATATAACGACTTGGACAGCACCCAAATGCAGCAACATTTACGGGCGTATACCTGTGTTATGTAATATACTAATATGTGTGTATGTATATATATATATATATATATATATATATATATGTATGTATGTATGTATGTATGTATGTATGTATCCATATATATGTTTGTATGTATCATTTATGTATGTATGTATAAATATTGGGATATCAAAAAAAAATAATTGGTTGAAATTATTGTGTAGTATGTCTGCTGTATATATGCTAAATAATTTGTTTTGGTATATAAATATTATTTCATAAAGTCTTATATTCCATTTTTTCCGTATTCCGCTTATGCAGTAAACGCATCATTCCTAAACTTAAAATCCATGGCAGACGGTGATCCCTCAAAACCGAATGCACAGACTTTTTTCATTTACATTGAATAAAATATTATATTAAACGGTCAAGTATCGTTTGAAGTATGTTGTATATAAAACACGAACTTCCATATTAAAATAAGCCTTCGGTGCTCGTCATGAAGAGTTCTCCTCTCTCTGTTTGATACGAAAAAAAGATCTTCTTCTCTTATTAAAAGCTAACATGAACCGATATATACCTACACCAAAACGTAGGTAATAAATCCTGCTAAGTGCGTCAAAAAACTGCCATTAATTGAAAAGCCTCAAATCGTTTTTACTGTATATCATAAATAAATAATAATTTTCTCGATAATCTCTTCCTGACGTATACAATGCAAATTTCTGAAATGATTAAAATAATATTACAACTCTAATAATATTGTAACACTTGTGGTCCACACGCTTGTAAAAAAAACTATAGGCACATAGGGTCAAGTCTTAGTTTTGGCCTTTAGGTATAACTGAAAACTAAATCGATTATTTCAGTACCTATATATCGTTATTATAAATAGTTTTGACGTAATTTGCAACCGAATTTAAGCAACTGGTCGAAGTTTTGACCCACGTAATCCGTTTTTGTAGGATTAAATAATTACAACAGTATTCTATTAATTTGTATGGTTAAGTTTAGGAAACAATTTTTTTTTTAGTACGCAGGTACAAACGATAAAGTTCTATAATACAGATACTTTAGCTGGATGCGCATTATCATTATTATCTAAACAAAATATAATTTTTTATCTGCTCATAAATGAAATACTGAATACTGATCGTGTGGTGGTTTTAATCGAATACCCGAAAAATATCAACAGCCATTAGTTTTTTTTATTTATATAATAATATGTAAGCAGATGCACTCGAACTATCATTCGATCAATTTCAAAATTATATGTGCCCGACTGATGTCCATATATTTGGTACATTTTTCGTTTTCTTTTGAAACGGACACGAACTTACTAAAAGTGTCATTAAAATATTATATTGTGTCTCTGACTTTGGATACACGCCGTATATAGTCTTATTATATTAAAATATAGTAAATTATGCCATCGTGCATCGAAAATCGGTAGACAGACAGCTGAGGGATATATATATATAATGATATATAAATTATATTGTGTGACTAGGAAACGCGTATGTATCGTCGTATAAAATAATAATAGTAATATAATGTCGTGGACCAAACCATCCCCCGGGGCTGTTATGATTGCGAAAATGTCAAAACGAATAGGACTAAAACGTCTTGGCGTGTGCGAATAACGTTTCTGGCACTTTCTCTTTATTAAAACTTATCTGCGGCTTCACATCCCTTTAGCACATTCCTGCAAAACCACCCTGCTCTATTCTTACACTCATACACTCCGGCACCTTCCTTCGGTTTGTCGATTTTTCGGTCGTCTCCATTGTCGCGGAACAAGTAATAATCAGTGTAAAATGTTTATGATGTATTTATATACACATATACGTGATCCACCAGTAAAGATTTATATACTCAAATATTATTATAGATATACGTACGTCACCGTTGCCTCTGCAGACTTTATTTTGCCAAAGACTTTTCATTACTGCTACTACAATAATATAATCCTATATAATACATCTTAACTTAAAACGTACGCGAGAAGCGCATACAAATTTATCCTATTGTAAAAAAAAGTAGCTGTGAAGAAAGAAAATTAAAGTAATTAATTAATTATGATTATAATAATAAATAATTAAAATAATAATACTGATTATTTGGTGATTTTAATGAACTGTGTTTTCCAACGAGTTTTTTTTTTGTTTTTTTTTTTGAACATGTCATTAGATTACCAATTTAAGTGTATAAAAGATAGTTATAAGAAAAAAGTATTGTGTTCTTGTAAATCAAACCTATACCAATAATTTAAATCAAAAGTATTAATGCGTATTTCACATAAGTTTAGAGGACCATAGTTAAGGAACTGGCTAACCAAAATTAATCATTTGAGTATCAATGTTTTCAGAAAAAAAAAATTTATCAGATTCCATTAAAAAATATTGTGATTACCATTTGAAAAAGTAAAGTTGATTTTGCTATTAGTACACCTGCGTGTTTAAACATTTTGAAATTGTTATAAAAAAAATTGCATGTTAAAAATAAAGAAACAAGTATTTTTTCGTTTTTCAAAATTCCATATCATAGGTGTATAATCGTTAAAAAAACTCCGAGTACCGTGACATAAGATACACTCTGTATACCTAAATATTGCTATATATATATATTATATCTACGTTCCCACTGTTTAATGTGCAAGCTTACTCCGCAGATATTGTTATTTCATTTTGCTCGAGACTTTACATCACTGCTACTGAAATATTATTATAATTATTATTTTTTTTATTAATTAACCCGCGGCAACTAAGATCATTGGGTGAACAATGTTATTATAATACCTACCTCTCTCGGGTTACATATTTTATAAGACGTACGATGTACATGATATGATGCACACTGCAGTGATTATTTCGTCACAGACCGCAGTCAATAACTATTAAAACGTACGAGGAATTTTCAAATTGTAATTATTACGAAGCATCATACCTACCTATATATTATATGATAGTCAACCTCAAAACGACAAATAGTAAGTAGTTCAAAAACGTTAAAAAAATAGCTCTAAACTGCCTAATATTTCCTTTCAGTTAAACATAATCACACTATAGTACGAGCCGCAATTACTATGTTTTTGACCACCGTAAAAATACTATATAAACCGCCGCCGCCCAGACGGTTGAACCCGAGCCAATATCGTCGGAGCGCCGTCAAACTCCGTGGCGATAAAATAAATTACGAATTTTCACGATAACGGTCGGGAGTTATTTTTCTTCGCCAATTCGTAGAATCAAAATCGTTTTCTCCAAGTCGTGTGCAGGCTGCAGATGAGTTCGAGAAACTGTTTTGCCCGTCCAAACGTATTGCCGTGGAAACAATAATACATGCAACAGGAATAATAATTAATTGTATTATAACACCCCGACTTCTGATGAATTATCGACGTAACAAATTACGATTTCTAGATCTATTTTTGCGACCCGACGATGAATACGTATATTCGAGTCAGTCACTTTTCATTGCCATCCGATTGTTAAATCACAAATACAAAAAAGGCGAGTACGTATTTTTTTTTATGATGGCCGTTAAAGTTTTGACGGAAACTAGATATGTGTGATGTGTATTAATTGTTGAGTAAATCCCAACTTCAAAAATATTACTTTCTCATTAAAACTAAAGTGAGTTGGTCACTTCAAAGCCAATGACTGTGCGGAGATGAGAGTTCTAATAGCTTATACAATTTCTAATATACATGCTTGAAAAATTTAAGTTACATTTTAAAGTAATAACGGTTCATAACAACTATTGTAAATACAATTAATAAAATATATGCAATAAAAATCTTAACAATAGTAATAGTGGAAATTATCATATTATATTATATATTCTATGCACTTGCTTACAATTTATTTACAATGGTATCAATATGCAAATTTCTCGAAACTATTGGAATTATAAAAAACTTGAGAATTAATTTTAAATTTATATAAGTATATAATATGGTTCGGATTGACTGAAAGTTGTTCTTAGCTAAGGAATATTTAAATTGACATTTTTTTTTTATATCTTGTATCATGACTATGAGTATATTATGGCAACGTAATAGAATTCCAAAGTTCCTCCAAACACTGCATAATGTTGATAAAATTGAATTGCATTATATCAATTCTTATTAGAATGTAATTATTGAGTGCAAAATTCTGTGGCAGTAGTCGGTTTTACTTATCAGCAATACTTTATCAGGTTTAAATAATTATAATCGAAAAACGTAAATTTTGAGAAGGTACCTACAGAAAAATACAAAGAAATACCATCGTTATAACGGACGTGGCTTAATGATATGTAGAATATCACGTTATGAAAGACCATAGTTTTTTCCATAGCATTTATTTTATTAATTAGGTATTTTTATGTATTTTATGTATCGGAGAAGAAAATATTTAATTTTTCTGAGTTTTTTATTAGGAATATTATCTTGGCATATACCTATACCTAATAATATTACACTTAGGTATTTTAAATCTTACTGTAAGTCTACCGTCCTTTGTGCTTTGTTTTTACTGTTTAAACTATCTAATAATAATACTATGATAATATAAAAGCAATTTACTTAAATTATAGACTTTTGAACGGAATGCATTTTTTTCTCGAGTCCTATTCATAAATTGATTTTATTGTTCACTACTTTGTTATGAATGAGCTCATTAAACACTTAACCAGTTAATAAGAGCAAAAAAATGATTACTCATGTACGAATTTGACTCTGAATAAACTTTGAATAAATATTTATTATAATCAACAATCGTGTGATTATAATCACAATTTCCGATTTCAGTATTTTGATAAACCACGTTCAAAATCGTAAATTCAATGAAACTGTATATTTTATTAAAATACATAATATATTATCAAAGATGTTTCAATACTTCAATTGTAACTTATATTTATTGATAAAATAACTTTCCGTTGGC